AACCCGTCCACTTCCTATCTGCTAACTGCACATACATCACTGCTGATCACAATCAAACGCAGAGCTTCACCATATATCAAACCAACAGACGTCCAGCAATGCCAGATCCGATCAAAGAGTGGTTTCCCCCTTCCTCTTTCTCTCATATATTACGAAGGGAATCTCAGCAATGATTTGCTTCCTGTCAAATCTATTAAGACGAATAAAGACACATTAATCATGACAGCCAGAGGAGGATATTAACTAACACTTCTTACTCAGTTTCTAATCTCCTGAATAATAAACCATGTTACATCATGTGGGAAAGTGGATTATAAACACTCATCATTCTGTAATCGCTGCATCTTCTAAACCTCAACATATTTGCTGGAAATAATCTGTGTCATATGATATTTCTCCTCCCTGTATAAACAAATATTGTATAATAAGAAATGAAATTTTGATCTATAAAAGTATATTTTGTTTATATACACACACACACACATATGCACACACACTTTCATACACATATGTATGTGTGTGTGTGTATATATATGTCCAATTCTCATTAAAATTAGAAAAATATTTTTAAATTATGTATTTAATATTTATTTTATTTCAATTATATATAAATTGCATTAAATATAATTATTATAATTTTTTATATATAAAAGTAATATATTGCATTTATTAGCAATATATTATTATATTAAATCATGTAAGAATTAATAAATTATATCCATCTATCTATCTATCTATCTATCTATATATATATATATACACACACACACACACACATATATTTCCAAATCTCATTACAATAATTAAAAAGAACAATATATATGATATATTTATATATGTTTGTGCAATATACATATTTTTAATATAATAAATATATTTTAATATAATATATATAATATATATATATATATTTTTTTTTAATGGTAAAGTACATCTGTTTTAATTTTTGAGAATTTATTTAATTACAAATAATTTAATTTTAATTTTGTGACTGCCCTTAATATAATACAAATTTAGGGGAGGGATGGGGCCTATTTTAAAATATGAATAATAGGCTTCATTTTCTTTCTGCAAACGGTAGCTTCTTAGAAATGTATTTCTTCCTTTTTCTTTTGAGAGTATAATATGTCCCAGCATTTCTTTAAGCGACTCAGCCAATACCTTTAATGACTTACCGAGAGGAGTAAATAGGTCTGGGAGTTTTTAAATTGCTGGGTTTAAGATGAGAGATGAATTTGATCTAAAGAGAGAAAGAGTCTGATCTATCAAGAGAAATATGAGACATTTGTGTAACTTTAATAAAGTTCCTATGGCCTGCTGCTCCGTGCTGCGCGCAGTAATTGCTAGATGAGGCGTTCCTGCTTTGCATCCCAGCAGATCGTGTCTATATCTACCCACGCACGGGGAAACAGCAGCCGTCTGGTTACCTGAGCAACGAATTTCCTCCATCCCTCCATTCATCACCCTGCACTGCAGTGTGATCCTCAAACACACAGTTTACACAACCATCTTCACACGGCACAAAGACACATTCAGGAACTCTCTGTTCTCATGTGCAGACTGACACTGCTTGAACAGAAAAGGTTAAACCTGTCCCTCTAAATGCATTCTGAAAGCTTACTTTGACTCAATTTCAATGTAACATTGTGTTCCATTTGACTCGGAAGGTCAGAATTTCTGATTTGAAAAATTGTACAGCACCAGACAAAAGTTTGGAATTACCTTTTTTGAAATATCTATGAAAGGAGTCTCTTCTGCTCACCAAGTCTGCATTTATTTAAATTAAGAATACAGTAAAAATTGTGAAATATTTTTTAAATTTAAAAATAACTGTTTTCTATGTGAATATATAGTCAAATGTAATTTATTCCTGTGATCAAAGCTGAATTTTCAGCATCATTACTCCAGTCTTCAGAGCATAATCCTTTAGAAATCACTCTAATATGCTGATTTGCTGCTCAAGAAACATTTCTGAGTATTATCAATGTTGAAAACTGCTTGAAATTCAACTTTTGTTCTCGTCCAGCGCCACTAAAGCATGAATATCATGTGGCTTGCTGAAGATAGGTGTGTTATTACTTTTCTAAAAGATGAGTCTAACCATTTTCACCTGGTGGTGAAAAAAAATACTTGCATACACCAAGCCATATCTACAGAGACATGTATGGAGCCTATTCACTTGCTTCATAAAAACATAAGAATCCAGTTATTTTGCAGTTTGGTTTGGTGCCACCAGTGGCACAGAAATTGCTTAGAGCAGCTTTAAGTATAATTCCATGTGTACGTGTGTGTTTTTGTGTCCGCTTCGATGTTGAAATTCATCACTCTGTACCTGATTGTGTGCGTGTGTCCCGTCTCCAGACTGACAGCTCTACAGTATCAGCTGACTGCTGCAGATCGCAGTGAGCTTGAGCTCTGGAACCCAATCTCCATGTGCTCCCAGAGATCCTGTTCGTTTCTCCATCCCGCCAGCACAGAACATGAGTTTCTCTATATTGCCCTGGAAGAAAAAAAACAATGCTAGGTACAAATTAATCTCCTGAACACAACCTACAAACGTTTTTTTTTTAAAGACAGGTAAGATTGCACTCATTGCAGTGGTGAGTGGGTTTGGTCCTCAATCCCTGAAGCAAAATCCATATAACATCCACCAGAGGAAAACTATGAAGTTTCTGGTCTTATTTTGAACACTTCATCAATGTATGTTATTCCCCACTCAGCTGCTAGGAGAAACAACTGAGGCATTAAAGGAATAGTTCACTCAAAAATGAACATTTACTTAAAAATCACAAGACATGGATTGAAGTGGTGTGGATTACTTGTGAATTATTGTGATGTTTTTATCAGCTGTTTGGACTCTCATTCTGACGGCACCCATTCACTGCAGAGCATCCATTGCTGAGACACTGATGAAATGCTACATTTCTCCAAATCTGATGAAGACACAAACTCATCTACATCTTGGATGGCTTGAGGGTGAGTACATTTTCATGTTTGGGTGAATTTTTCCTTTAAAGAGTTCTCATCTGAGGTTTTCTTTTTATGTGAGACATGACCAGAATTAGATATGAATGTGTGCCTGTTTTGAAGTATTCCATTACCCACAACAACCTGGACAGATGCACTTGCACATCAAGAGCCCTTTCAAGAAAACTTTGTGTCTTTGCCCTTGGCATTGATGGTCTGTTTGTCTATATATCCCACTGTTCGCCACAGAGATGAGACATGGGCTGAAAAGGTAACTGGCACTTTGTAAGCAGCTCTGGTCCATCTGGTGAAATTGTGCATTTAATCCAATTTCTGCGATGGTCTGAATTCATGTGTGAAAGCTGAAATGAGATGCACCCATTACGCATACACCGAGGTTCGCCACTACAAACGTGGAGGGCATGCAAAGAAGCCTTTTGACATGGTGTAATTAATTTATGGGATAGATTTATTTATATTCTATCAAAGATTAAATTTTAGAAGTGAAGTGTAGCCAAGTATGGTGTCTCATACTCATAAGAATTTGTGCTCTGCATTTAACCCATCCAGTTCAGTAGAGAAGAAACATACACACACACACACACACATCTCGTGTCGTTTCAAACCCATATACCTTTTAACTGTGAAACATAAAATAATCTTTATGCAGCTTTTTGTGTGTTTGGAACCACATGACGGTGAGTAAATAATAACAGAACACTCTTAAAAATAAAGATTCTTTATGAAGAACCTTTAACAACCATGGAATCTTTCCACAAAAAGTTCTTTATAGTCAAAAAAAGAAATGGCTCTTTTAAGAACTGATCACTGAAAGCTTCTTTAGGGAATCCAAAACAGTACTTCTATGGCTTTGCTGCAAAAGAGTGAAGATCATTTTGGACAAACTATTGCTTTAACAGATAAGGATCAAAATGAAAAACATATTTTTATGGAAAATTACCATTCCATACACCATAAAGCATCCCAGAGCAGTTTAACTTCGAATGAAAGCTCTTGCAGTGCTTGGCTCACTGGAGTTCGGACAGAGGTTTTGCCAATTCTGATGGAAGGACTGTTTGAGAGAGAGACAGAGTGAAAGAGAGGAGGAAAACTGACATTGACAATATTGGTGAACAAACAATTGTGGCAGCGTTGTAGAGGATTTGATGCAGCGTCGTGTCCCACATGAACGGAGCGCCGCAGACAGTACATGAGAGTCCTGGGAGATGAGTGCACATATCAGATACTGACAGAAACACCTGGGTCCCTCAAATATCACAGCTCCTGCCTCCGCTCTGTCTCTGTCGCTTACTCTTGTCTGTGCGATATATCTCTCTACATCTCTCGTTTTTTTCTGTTTATTAAAGGAAAAGTTGACATAATAAAGGAAATTATGTCATTATTTACTCACCCTTGTCATTCCAAACCTGTGTGCTGTTCTTTTTCCCTGAGGACAACAAGAGGATACATTTTTGCATGGTTATTTTACATGCAACAACAGACCATAGTCTCCCAAGATGCAAAAATTACTGCAAAGCACATTCAACTTGAGCTTTGAAAGGACATGAAGGAGAGCAAGTTTTCTTTTCCCCTGAGGACAACAAGAGGATACATTTTTGCATGGTTATTTTACATGCAACAACAGACCATAGTCTCCCAAGATGCAAAAATTACTGCAAAGCACCATAAAGTACATTCAACTTGAGCTTTGAAAGGACATGAAGGAGAGCAAGTTTTCTTTTTTGACTGAACTAACCTTTTAAGCATATGTGTGGAAACAGCAGCTGCAGGACCCCACTGTGATTAATAAGTGCCATGCAATGAACTGATCTTCGTTTAGCTGTAGGACTCTTAGACACCATATGCTGGAGAAAAACAAGCTAATGAAATAAAAGGAAATGCACACATGAACGCACAGAGAATTTAGCTACAATCAACTTCTTTTTGCAAACCAGGGGGGGAAAAAGTGCCGTTGTTTGGGAACCACTTGTGGGTTTTTGATTTTCTTTTAAAGAAAATCTAATGTGGACACAAATGGACAGACTGCAGGCGACACTCGGTGACCTCAAGGAAGCCCATGAGAGCTGTGTCGAACGGGCTGAGCTCAGTAAGGTATGTGGTTAGTGTTGTAATATGTAGTGAAGATTTAGGTCAAGTTAAAAGGATATTTCACCCAAAATGAAAATTTGGCCATCCAAGATGTGTGACTTTTCTTCAGTGGAACAGTAATGAAGTTTTTAGCTGAAACTGTGATCCTTGGTGATTCATACAATGCAAGTCAGCAGCTATGTCACTTTGAGTAACAAAAAAGCATATCAACGAAAACTAAAATAATACCCATGGATCCTGATGATACATTAAAGTCTTATGAAGCAAAACGATCGGTCTGTGCAAGAAACTGAACGTTAGGCATCTGGCAAACGGCCCGGAGTGATGCCTGGTTCACAAAATCAGTTCACCAAATTAGACTGAAGCGTCTGAAACATTCTGCGGCTGGAGCAACACAGATCTACAAGTTACTCAATCAAAACTCCCTTTCAGACGCCTGACTCAAAAATGGGTTCCAACTCAAAATGAGTCAAAATAGTGGCGTATCTGATCCTGTGATGAATGAACAGTCACTAAAACAGTTCGATTCGGACTGCAGACTGATGAGCCGCTGATATGAGCATGTGTGAACCGAACACTTGAATGTAGGGCCAAATGATTGTTTTTATAGTTTCTCATTGTTTATGTAAAAAGGTGAGCTGATGAAGACTAGTTCATTACCTTTTATGCTTTAGACATGTAAAACATCCACATTTCGCACTTTGATGAACTGAGGGTGAGTAAATTAATGGCATATTGTCATTTTTGGGTGAACTATCCCTTTAACAAAGGATTAAACCTTCTTAAACCATTTCAGGAACACACCAATATGGATGAAAACCAAATCAAGAAGGAATTTAAGAAGCTCCATCAGTTTCTGAGAGACGAGGAGGAGAAACAGATCAGATCCTTGCATAAAGAAATGAAACTTCAAGATGAGAAACACCAGGCCAGAATGAAGGAGCTCTCCGCACAGATATCAGATCTGTCTGAGAGGATGGCAGCCGTCTGGCAGGACATAGAAGCTGAAAACATCACATTTCTCCAGGTACAGATCAGATCAAATACTCAACGATACACATAAAGCCAAGGACAAAAGTCAGAACTGTAATCTGGTGCAAACGTGTCTGATAATCAATGTTGATGTTTGCTCAACCTCATGACTGAGCGCTAATTGCTTTTTTATTTCTCATTCAGAATTACAGCGCACTCAACGATACACATAAAGCCAAGGACAAAAGTCAGAACTGTAATCTGGTGCAAACGTGTCTGATAATCATTGATGTTTGCTCAACCTCATGACTGAGCGCTAATTGCTTTTTTATTTCTCATTCAGAATTACAGCGACACCGTAAAAAGGTGAGTCTTTCCCAATTAGAATTTGGTTACAGCTGCAATCCCATTTTGCCCAGTGAACACCAAATATCTTACTGTTAATCTACACAGACTCCAACACCCATCAGTAGCAAACACAACCCCTGAACTACAGGAATATCAGCACTATCCCATTCAGACAGTGATCTTCACCACATGGGCCAGAATGCAGAACCTTGTGGAACAGCGTAAGTAATAGCATCTTCTTAGACATCTGCTTAGATTGTATGCTGTTATTTTTTTCCATGAAACACAAATGAAAAAAACAACCCCATCATTCAGCTATTTTCTAATTTACATAATTACAAGATGATAACACATGACGTTCTACTTGGAGCTGTTCACACGCTCGGACTCGACTTTATCAACTGAATTATCAATTATGCTATGGCAACACAGATAACACCAAAATTATTCTATGTAATGTGAGTTGTTTTTCAACTCACATTACATGCAAAATTATTCTTGCATTATTAAGACATTAAAAATAGTGAATGATATATCAGAAACATTACAAAATAACTGAACTACATTTTACTGCTGAAGCCACAGTAAATTTGAGTGTAACCAGGTGACGTTGTAGTGGTCATACGAGTCAGAGCTCAGGTGTAATTATGAGTTCTACAAGGACGTGAATGCTTTTTACATGTTCGACTCTCATAATTATGCCAATTCTGATGTGCCGTGAACAGACTTAAAGTACCATAAAAGAAGTGTTGTTGGGTTTTTTTGGACCAAGCCACTAGTCACCATCCACTTTTATTGTGTGCACCAGAAAAAAAATATCAACAGACAGGTTTGGAAAGATATGATGGTAAGTCTATAAAGAACAAACACATGAGTAGTAGTGCAGTGGTACTGACTGATGAAAGGCTCTGCATTTTACAGTCATCTGTGTTTCAGCTCCTGTGACTCTGGACCCAGACACAGCATCCAGTAAACTGCTGGTGTCACAGGACTGCACCAGTGTTCAGTGCGTAGAAATGAATCTGCATGTGTCTGATAACCCAAAAAGGCTACATGACGGGGTGCTGGCCTCACAGGGCTTCAGCTCAGGTGTGCACTGCTGGGACGTAGAGGTGGGTGATAACAACAACTGGACACTGGGAGTGATGGGGGAAACGGTGAACCGCAAAAAACTTTGTAAAATGAATGCAAAAAATCGCTTTTGGTGTTTTCGTAATGTGGATGGTAAATACAAGAAAGGTAAAAAACCTGTCAGTGATATTGATAGCAATGAAAGGCCAAATATCATCCGACTGGAGCAGGACTTTGACAAAGGAGAGCTGAGATTCATCGACCCTTCCAGAAACAGAAGTCTGTGCACCTACACTGGTGGATTTCCAGAGAAAGTGTTCCCATATTTCTGTACTGGAGATGCGGACACACCACTGAGTCTTTTCCCAGCAAATACACTAAAAGTCTAAACCAAAACTAACATGACATTTTTTTTTTACACATGATAAAATAAGTGAATGCTGAACACCATAAATAGCCTTGTGCACAAGTTTTGTGCATTTGTCCATCTTTCTTTAAAACAAAAAGGCATTTGATTTTTTTTTCTTTAACTGAAATGACCATCATAAATTTAGTATGGCTTAAGTGTCCAAATACTTTTTTGGAGCCACTGTATGTCCAGCAATGTGATTATTCAATCATGCAATGTTTCAGTACAAACGATGATGCATTAATAAGGCAGATTTTAATTTGATTATCAATGTAAAAAGCAATAAAGACTATTTGGTGTACCAATGTGATATTACAGAATTGCAAGTGAAATGCAGTGTGGTGACTTTACCTCTGCCAGCTGATTGGTCAGCTCAACCTGGTGGCATTTCCTTCTTTCTGATATTGGCAAGTGTGGAGGACGGCACATACCTGGAACACCTGCTATGATGAAACTCACAGTTTTTTCTTGCAATTCTGAGTTTATATCTCACAATCCTGAGACATAAAAACAGAATTGCAAGATATAAACTTGCAATTCTGAGAAGAAAAGTCCATATTGTGAGATATAAACTCACAATTGTGAGAAAAAGGTCTGAGAAAAAAGTTATTTTTTTCATCCAGTTGAGGAAACAAGCTTCCATAGAAATCTGACCCTATATTGATTCTCCCTAATATACTTTGCCAATAATAAAAGTCTACAAGGCTCACATGGGGTAGTTAAAGTCCAGAGTGAAGATGTCCTCTGCCCAAACGTCCAAACAGCATCACGATGTAGTCAGCTGAAAACACACCAACACACAATCACAACAGTGCAACTGGGCTTGACAACTCTACCAGTGACAACTGCCATCTAGTGACAATTGTATACAACTCAGATCTTTTCTCCTACTCTGTGGTCACTGCGGCCCCTGCTGACATTAAAATGATAGTTCAGAAATGAAAACTTTATCATCATTTACACATCCTCAGGACATTTGCCTAGTTCAGTGGTTCTCAAACCTCTCCATGAAGTAAGTACCCCCAGCACTGCACATTTTGTATGTCTCCCTATATCTGACATACCCACTTCAGGTCTTGCAGTCTCCACTAATGAGCTGATGAGTTGAATCAGGTGTGATCGATGAGGGAGACATACAGCCGTACTCCAGAACAGGTTGAGAACCACTGGCCAAGTTCTATCATACATGGACAGTAAATAATTACAAAATTTTGATGCACTGCACTATTAAACTTAAACGTATGTAATCAGTGCATCAGTTGTCACAAGACATCATTGCTTGTGCATTCTGAGATTATGAGTGTGTGAATTCAACAAAACATACAGTCAACCAAATTAAGTAAACAAGTCAGTAACTAGTAGTTGCTAATCCACAAATGTAAAATGTTTGCTCTAATTGAAGTAAGACGTCATGCTGAGCAGGTGCAGCCGCACTATGTGATCATTTCCTGGTTGTTAGTCTTTGTAATATGATATCCTGGAGGGAGGAGTCGATAAATCTTCTACGTAAACGAAACTTAAGTAAAAGAAATTAAAGGGTTGGGTGTGGTGAAAGGTAAAGCAGGTTTCACCAGTAAGAAAGTACATTTATTGGACTTGAGAAGTAAAGCAGCTGTTACTATTACTGCAATTTCAGTTGGAACGTCTGTTGGCTGAGAATTGAGAACTGACTTCAGTCATGGCAGACGCTTTGTCCATCCTGGAAGAGGATTTGACATGTCTCATCTGTTGTGATGTCTTCACCGATCCGGTCACTTTGAAATGTAGCCACAGTTTGTGTGAGAAATGCCTCCAGCGCTTCTGGACGACTCAGGACGTGCCGCAGTGTCCGGTCTGTCGGAAGGAATGCTCTCACGACGAGCCCACCAAGAGCCTGGCGTTCAGAGCGCTCTGTGAGTCCTTCAAGAAGAGAAAACCCACAGCTGTTTCAGGAGACGTTTGTCCAGAACATGAAGAAAAGTTCAAACTCTTCTGCTTTGTGGACAAGCAGCCCATCTGTGTGGTCTGTTACACATCAAAGAAGCATGAAAATCACAAGTGTTCGCCTGTCGACGAGGCTGCTGGGAATTTAAAGGTATGAAGAGTTTGGAATCTGATCTGACTGACTTCTGACATCTTCAAGCTCAAAATTAAGAGTTTATCATGTGATTCTAGGAGGATCTCAAGACACAAATGGACAGACTGCATGAGACCCTCGCTGACCTCAAGAAAGCTCAAGAGAACTGTGTGAAACAGGCTGAGCTCATTAAGGTAAGTGTATGTTAGTATTGTAATCCGTAGTGAAGATTTACATCAACTTAACAAAGGACTAATATTAGTCCTTTGTTAGTCCTAACAAAGGACCATATTTACGAATTAGGAACATGACTTGAATGCACTATTAGTGTTGTAATCAGTAGTGAACTTTTACACTGTTAACAGAAAAGGTTGAACACGTCCAAACAGCATCACGATGTAGTCAGCTGAAAACACACCAACACACAATCACAACAGTGCAACTGGGCTTGACAACTCTACCAGTGACAACTGCCATCTAGTGACAATTGTATACAACTCAGATCTTTTCTCCTACTCTGTGGTCACTGCGGCCCCTGCTGACATTAAAATGATAGTTCAGAAATGAAAACTTTATCATCATTTACACATCCTCAGGACATTTGCCTAGTTCAGTGGTTCTCAAACCTCTCCATGAAGTAAGTACCCCCAGCACTGCACATTTTGTATGTCTCCCTATATCTGACATACCCACTTCAGGTCTTGCAGTCTCCACTAATGAGCTGATGAGTTGAATCAGGTGTGATCGATGAGGGAGACATACAGCCGTACTCCAGAACAGGTTGAGAACCACTGGCCAAGTTCTATCATACATGGACAGTAAATAATTACAAAATTTTGATGCACGGCACTATTAAACTTAAACGTATGTAATCAGTGCATCAGTTGTCACAAGACATCATTGCTTGTGCATTCTGAGATTATGAGTGTGTGAATTCAACAAAACATACAGTCAACCAAATTAAGTAAACAAGTCAGTAACTAGTAGTTGCTAATCCACAAATGTAAAATGTTTGCTCTAATTGAAGTAAGACGTCATGCTGAGCAGGTGCAGCCGCACTATGTGATCATTTCCTGGTTGTTAGTCTTTGTAATATGATATCCTGGAGGGAGGAGTCGATAAATCTTCTACGTAAACGAAAGTTAAGTAAAAGAAATGAAAGGGTTGGGTGTGGTGAAAGGTAAAGCAGGTTTCACCAGTAAGAAAGTACATTTATTGGGCTTGAGAAGTAAAGCAGCTGTTACTATTACTGCAATTTCAGTTGGAACGTCTGTTGGCTGAGAATTGAGAACTGACTTCAGTCATGGCAGACGCTTTGTCCATCCTGGAAGAGGATTTGACATGTCTCATCTGTTGTGATGTCTTCACCGATCCGGTCACTTTGAAATGTAGCCACAGTTTGTGTGAGAAATGCCTCCAGCGCTTCTGGACGACTCAGGACGTGCCGCAGTGTCCGGTCTGTCGGAAGGAATGCTCTCACGACGAGCCCACCAAGAGCCTGGCGTTCAGAGCGCTCTGTGAGTCCTTCAAGAACAGAAAACCCTCCGCTGTTTCAGGAGACGTTTGTCCAGAACATGAAGAAAAGTTCAAACTCTTCTGCTTTGTGGACAAGCAGCCCATCTGTGTGGTCTGTTACACATCAAAGAAGCACGAAGATCACAAGTGTTCTCCTGTCAACGAGGCTGCTGGGAATTTAAAGGTGCGAAGAGTTTGGAATCTGATCTGACTGACTTTTGGCATCTTTAAGCTGAGTATTAAGAGTTTATCCTGTGATTCTAGGAGGATCTCAAAACACAAATGGACAGACTGCAGGCGACACTCGGTGACCTCAACGAAGCCCATGAGAGCTGTGTCGAACGGGCTGAGCTCAGTAAGGTAAGTGGTTATGGCATGTTCAAGTCCTCCTGGGAAGTTCTTATTTATGAATTAGGAAGTCTACAATCATTCCAACATGACTTGAACACACCATTAGTTTTGTAATCAGTAGTGAACTTTTACATTGTTAACAGAAAGGCTTAAAGGCTTAGTTCACCCAAAAATGAAAATTCTGTCATTAATTACTCACCCTCATGTCGTTCTAAACCCGTGAGACCTTCGTTCATCTTCGGAACACAAATTAAGATATTTTTGATGAATTCTGAGCGCTCTCTGACCCTCCCATAGACAGCAATGTAATTACCAGGATCAAGGTCCAGAAACGTAGCAATGAGATCGGTAAAATTATCCATGTGACATCAGGATTTCAACCGTAATTTTACAAAGCTACGGGAATACTTTTTGTATGCAAAGAAAACAAAAATAACGACTTATCCACTGAACGTAAACAGCGTATGCTATTCTGTGTCAGCTGCGTCATGCTTTGATCTGAACGAAAACAGCGTATCCGCGTGGCGCAGCTGACACAGAATAGCATACGCTGTTTACGTTCAGTGCATACTCTCCAAAATGGCACCAGGGTGACGCGGAAGAGACGAATTGTTAAATAAAGTTGTTATTTTTGTTTTGTTTGCATACAAAAGTATTCTCGTAGCTTCGCAAAATTACGGTTGAAACCCTGATGTCACATGGATTATTTTAACGATCTCCTTACTACGTTTCTGGACCTTGATCGTGGTAATTACATTGCTGTCTATGGGAGGGTCAGAGAGCGCTCAGAATTAATCAAAAATATCTTAATTTGTGTTTCGAAGATGAACGGAGGTTTTACGGGTTTGGAACGATACGAGGGTGAGTAATTAATGACAGAATTTTACTTTTTGGGTTAACTATCCCTTTAAACCATTTCAGGAACACGCCAATATGGATGAAAACCAAATAAAGGAGGAATTTGAGAAGCTCCATCAGTTTCTGAGAGACGAAGAGGAGAAACAGATCAGATCCTTGCATAAAGAAATGAAACTTCAAGATGAGAAACACCAGGCCAGAATGAAGGAGCTCTCCGCACAGATATCAGATCTGTCTGAGAGGATGGCAGCCGTCTGGCAGGACATAGAAGCTGAAAACATCACATTTCTCCAGGTACAGATCAGATCAAATACTCAACGATACACATAAAGCCAAGGACAAAAGTCAATCAGAGAGCTGTAATCTGAAGCAAGCATATCTGAAAATCAATGATCATGATCAATGTTTGCTCAACCTCATGACTGAACACTAATTGCTTTTTTATTTCTCATTCAGAATTACAGCGATACTTTAAAAAGGTGAGTCTTTCCCAATTAGAATTTGGTTACAGCTGCAATCCCATTTTGCCCAGTGAACACCAAATATCTTACTGTTAATCTACACAGACTCCAACACCCATCAGTAGCAAACACAACCCCTGAACTACAGGAATATCAGCACTATCCCATTCAGACAGTGATCTTCACCACATGGGTCAAAATGCAGAACCTTCTGGAAAAGCGTAAGTAACAACGTCTGCTTAGATTGTGTACATAATTTATTTACGCAAATGTTTCTCATTGGTAGTAGTACACTGATATTGATTGGTTGGTGTTTTAACGTCGCTTCCTTGGCTATTTTCATGATTAGTAACAAGTTGAAAACCTATATAAGGTGTTTATATGTGTATAGCATTGGATGTATGATATTAAGAACTTGTGTGTGATTCTGGAATGTTCTATTCAGCATCATGAATATATATGATCTGATCCCAGCGATTATTGAAAATACCCAATGTATTTTACCCAAAGAGAGGTTGACCGATGAAAAGCTCTGTAGTTTACGGTCATCTGTGTTTTTACAGCTCCTGTGACTCTGGACCCAGACACAGCATCGAGTAAACTGCAGGTGTCACAGGATTGCACCAGTGTTCAGTACGTAGAAAATAAACTGGTTGTGTTTGATAACCCAGAGAGAATGTATGTGGGAGTGCTGGCCTCACAGGGCTTCAGCTCAGGTGTGCACTGCTGGGACGTAGAGGTAAAAAACAACAGTCACTGGACGCTGGGAGTGGTGGCGGAAACAGTGAACCGCAAAAAATATTACAAATTGTATCCAAAGAAACATTTTTGGTGTTTTCATTACATGAATGCTACATACAAGCAAGGAAATGATCCTGTCAGCAATATTAATAGCAATGAGAGGCCAAATATCATCCGACTGCAGCTGGACTTTGATGAAGGAGAGCTGATATTCATCGACCCTTCCAGAAACAGGATTTTGTGTACCTACACTGGTGGATTTCCAGAGAAAGTGTTCCCATATTTCTGTACTGAAGATATGTTTAGCCCACTTAACATTTTCATGTCAAATAAACAAAAATGGTAAACCACAACTAACACAACATTTTTTTTATATACGTTGTGTTTTGTGCATGTGCCAAGATAATCCTCAAATGCGATGACCTTCATGCAGTGTGAATTGAGTTACAGTTTATGGTGTCCAAATAATTTTTAGGGCCACTGTATATCAAGATATGGGATTATTTAATCATGTAATGTTTAAGTGTATAGGGTGAAACATTATAAATATGGCAAATTTTAATGTGATTATTAATGAAAAAATAAATAAAGACTATTTGGTGTACCAATGTGACATTATTGAATTGCTAGTGAAATGCAGTGTGATTCTGACAAATAATGCTACCTATCAGATTATGCTACTGTAGGAAACTTTTTCCTCGTCGAAGCAGAGACCAGGAGACTCTTGGGTATCTTCAGCAGAGTTCTTTATTGAGAACGCGCTGCAGTCATCAAAAGTCTGACTAAGGCAGTGATACATTGTAGTTTATATAAATTTTAAAGGGCAATGCTTAGAAATGGAGACAAAGTACCTGGGTGACGCCCTTAAACAAAGCATGCAAATGAAGTACAGGAATCAGCCCGACACCGGCCTTTTCCCAGCCTTGATCTCATCAGCATAACAGTGCCATTCAAATGCATAGGTAATAATCCAATCAGTCTGACAGTCCTAATCCAATCAGCATAACTACTCAAAGACTGGGGCAGAGGCACCAAGAGCCATTACAAACAAAAGGTGATGGTCTCAGTAATCTGGTTCATTTGACTAACAATAAGAGAACAGGAACAGACAGGAACCTCTTGCTACACTTTGCTTAAGACAATCATTTGTCCGATGCAATTTACCCTAAACGACTTCACCTTAGTTTTTCATGTGATGCTATGTCAGAACATAGGATCAGCATATTTTAAACAGATTCTTAAATTTGTAATTCCACAAGTCCCCCTTTGAGAGTTCTAATAACTCTCACAAAATACAAATTTAGACACTTAAAAGTTAATTCTTGTAACCTGTGATCATTACAGGCACATAGCACTTGCTCTGTGTTGATTGTCTGTAGTGACGAACGGCATGTTGACACAGAAACAAACATGCAGCTAGGGTCCGTGAAGTTCTTACGGGTAATAG